ATCCATATTTATTTATGCGCATCTGAAAGAGATTAATATTTCAACTTGCAATGCAGCAAACAAGGCACATTTTAGCGAGATTGTTATTAAAAAATGTTATTAAATTGTAAAGATGCAGTTTAATAAGAATAAAAACGGAAAATCTTAGAGGTACAACATGTAAATAAATCAATAAGCAAATGGATATAATTAGAGAATAAAATGGGAAAACAACAACAACTAGTATTAATGGCAAATAAAAAATTAGGATCAAGAAAAAGAGAGAAAAAACAAACTGAAAAAAGACGAATATACCGAATAAGTTAACCGGTTATCGCTCCTCACTCATCAAAACTCGGCCGAGCGGGGAAGTAGTTTTTTTTTTTTTTACAAATCGATTAAAAAACGCAAACATATGCATATCAATAATATATTAAGAGGGGTATATATTTTTTTTTTTATAGAAAAATTACTTCCAGTCCCAAAAACCAATCGCTCTGCGTGTATTTTGTAAATTTGTCTTAATTTAATGAAAATATTTGCAATGTGTTTTTAACAAAAGTTTGAATACGATTCGCATAAGACTGACTTATAAGGAGTTTTTAATGATAGTTGGCATGTGATTCACACAAAACTGAAAGTGTGTCCGCTCGGATGGACGAGGCACACTCTTGATTTTTAAAGGTGTTCTGGCATCGTCCATCCGAGCGGACATGTTGTCAGTATTATGGGAATCACATTCCAATCATTAAACACACCTTGAAACTATTTTCATTAAATCAAGATAACCATCCTTTATATAAACAGAACAACGGATTTGTTTATTAAAAAAAAAGATACACGTCTCAACATATTATTGTTACGCAGATATTTTCTTTATGTTTCCTTTGTGCATAAAAAAAAAAAATTCCTTGATCGAGTTCTAACGGATGTGGAGCGATAACCGGTTAGCTCATTCTATATATTGGTGTTTTCCTTCTTTGCTTTCTCTCTTCTTAATAATGATAAACAAAATAATTGACATAACTCTTCAAATGTTTTGCAACACTTAGAGAAAGGCGCGATTAAGAAAAGCAAATCGCACTCTTCTCTAAGGGTAATAATGATAATAATGTTAATAATGATAATAATAATAATGATGATAATAATGATAATAATAATGATAATAATAATAATAATAATGATAATAATAATAATATTGATAATAATAATAATAATAATAATGATAATAATAATCTCAGCGTGACAAAGAGGGCAATATTTCACTGGAAAATATGCAAACTTTTATGGGAAGGAAACTGCAAGAAACTGGCATGAACATCAGCCACACCCGGTTACAGAGATAGGACCTGTAACATTTTTTATGGGAATTTACAATACACACAGAGAACAATCAAAAGCTAATCTCCCAGATATTGTGATTAAAGACCACAAAAACAGAAAATGCTTTCTTATTGACATGGCAGTCCCTGCCGATTGTAAGATTTTTTGAAAATCTTCAAAAAAAAAAAAAAAAAAAAAACTGTCAAAAGGATCTGAAAATGTGGCATATGAGGACATCAATAATTCCAATAGTAGTTTGAGCACTCGGATTGATTCGAAAATGTTCCGATAGACTCATTGAACGTATCACTTTTAGCCTATGCCATGAAGAAATACAAAAAACAAAAAATGTACTCAGAATTACAGCTAACATATTGAGAAAGGCTTTCTCGAAGTAATATGTGTGTGATATTATTTTTTGTTTTTTTTTTTCTCTCAAAAAATGCTCACTGGAAAATGTCATGATACCGTTTCCGAACTTAGGTCTCTGGTTGCGACCCTAAAAGAAATGAGTATAAAACGGAAATCAAAGGAAATAATAATAATAACAACAACAACAACAGCAACACAGAGAGAACAATCAAAACAATCAAATGAAAGCTAATCGCCCAGACATTGTTATTAGAGATTGCACACAAAAAGGTGCCTCCTTATTGATACGGCAGTCCCTGCAGACTGCAATATATCTTTGAAGATCTTCAAAAAGCTATCAAAATACAAGGACCTTGGAATCGAAATCTCAAAAATGTAGCACATGGGAACATCAACAATCCCCGTTGTGGTTGGAGCCCTCGGATTGGTTGGAAAAGATTCCAGTAGATTAATTGAAGGGATCCCTGGAAGCCCATGCCTTAAAAAAATACAAAAAAATGTTCGCATGATTACAGACCACACCTTACGATGGGCATTGTCTATGTATTTTTTTTTTTTGCAGTGGAAAATGCCATGATGCCATTTCTAACCTTAGGTCCCTGGGCGAGACCCGGAAAGAAATGGATACACATCAGAAATCAAAGGAAATAAAATAATAATAATGATAAATGTAGGCTTGAATTATTGCTCATCTGGGAAGGGATTCTGATTTTTGTATGTTCGATAGCATGTCTATCAGAAAAAATGAAAAACAATCCAATCTACATTGAAAGGTCAAAAGTTGAAAATAAAACTAGTAGCTGATTAAAATAATAATACACCTAAATATCATTCTCATTTTAGACAAATATAGCTTTACATATTTTTATATAGAAAAAAATATAACTTTATTTTGTCTGAATTCCTGGTATGAGAAATTTTCTTTATTTATACAATAGTTGGAATATGAACTATTATCCTTATCTTTTTTTATCACAACATTTCGGCTGTTGTCCGGCCTTCTTCAGGTGTATATTTATCTGGATAATCAACAGAGAATTCAGAACTGAACCCTTTATTTAATCTACGTGAGTTGACCGTTTTCGTCCCACTGCTCATGTCGTCTAGTCCTTATGTTATAATACTGTTCGGTTTTTGCTCACCCATTTCTACTGACTACAGGTACACACTGCCCGAGTGGGCTGAAATATCACCAAATTAACAAACTAACACTTTTAACCACTAGGCCACGGTTCACTAGTAAGTAAAAGCGTTGGTTTTTGAATTTTATGAGGACAATAATCCGAATATAAACAGTGCAAATAATTGCTATTTACAGAATAGTTTCATCTTATTAATTTACAAATAATTATAGAAAAAAAGACATAAGACAACTAGCTTAATGGACGCTTTTAAAGTGAGTATATGTTATGGGATCTTACCCATAATAATAATAATGGGCTATTCCATACTTAATAAATGCTGCGCCTCAGGAGTAGGCAAGAAGCCAGTCAGTAGTTCGAGTCAGTCAGTAGTTCAAGTCGAGTCAAGAGTCGAGTCAGAGGCGGTCCGAAACAGAGTCGCGTTCAGACAATTATTGAAAGACATTGGAATAATGATACTGGTCGAGACTATATTGTTCTCTCTACTAAACCTGATTGTTCATACTAACACTTCTACTTCTCTGTATATATTCCTATTTATAATATATCTGTGTCATTCCATACCTGTGTTCGAGTTCTTCTTTATTGGTTCTACCTTGGACTATCACCGTGATACAAGGAATCAGACCATAACAGTATATTGTAGTGATTCACATGAGTGGTTTATTCTTGAAAGATATCTGTCAAAAAAAAAAAAAAACGTTTCTGATTTTTGCTTTTCTGAAACAGTTTTTCTTGAGAGGTTTTTAGTTATTGATTAATTTCTTTTATTATTACGCCTTATTAATCATTTCTGGGTTACTTAAAGCCAAAACACATTGGGATTGTAAAAATAATTATTTTTTGTGCGAGCATGTGAGCAACAACGAATCTTTGGAGAAAATGGATGCAAAAAGGAAACTATCACTGAACATCAGGAAGAGAAAGTTGAGTTTTCTGGATCACATAATGAAAAAGGATGGCTTGGAAAATCTGATACAGATATAGGTCAAGATAGAAAGATGAAAACCACGAATAACATACTTATTGATACTAAATGGATGGCTGAACAGGAGTTAGGAAAAATAACAGAAAGACAAAGTTTATAAAAACTGCAATAGACAGAAAGTTGTGGAGAGCCATGATCGTTTACGCCCTAAGGGAACACGGCACATAAAGAAGAATATTGTATTAACAATTTTTTGGAGATAATTTTTATAGACATGAGACCTACTATTTAATCGAAATGAGGTGAGGGATGAAAGTTAGATTCATATCTTCCTCAAGGGTATTTATGCGTAAGTGAATGTAACTCGAGTGGAATTCGAACTCTGCTCTCCGATTTCTCATTCCGAGCCACTATCCATTAGACTATTCGCACAGTCCACTTGAGAAGGAGACAAATCCTATTTGGGCAAATCAGCATACACTCTCAGCTATCCAGTGTCTTTGTCGTTTTATTTCCATCAGTTCATCAAAAAGGAAAGTTCAAAATTTGGAGAGAAGCGCTCGCGGCCAAAGCAATCAGCCAAGAATTTGTAAAATCCTTGATACCCACAGGATAAAAATATGAATTCATTATTTTCTGAAAGAAAGATTGCCGTTTTGATTCATATTTTATTTTTGCGTTTTTGTCGGTCTGATTCGGTTTTCCCGCCATAAGCTGTGGCTGCGGGCAATGCTTGTAAAAATGTTTCTTGCCCAAAACGAAACGGGAAACTCTGCGAGAGAAAGAATATAATAAACTGTTTTAAGGTTTCCAAAGTCTGACAACCCCACAGAAGAAAGAGAAATACGCTAAGCATTTATTTGATCGACAAAGGAGAATACATGAAATAAGTTATACAGGTTGGCTGCCAATGGCATATCGAAGACAAGTGTTGGTAGTTGGATATAGGCGAAGATGTAGAAATTGTAGAATCTAAGAGAGAAAACTATGCCTATAATCAGTGAAGTAGCAGTAACTATCTCCAAATCTCCTTCGTGAAGATGGTCGCTATAAAAATCCCAAGTGAAAAATAAAATGTTTGCAATCCACAGCCTGACTGACAATGAACAGGATATTCCAAAATATGCAATAAGCAGATATGGAATCACTGACTTTTTTTTATGACCCGCCATTTGTCGCGCTTATGAATATTATGGTACTACTACTACTACTACTGCTACTACTACTACTAATAATAAGAAGTGTTGGAGAGTTACAAAGAGAGAAGAATAAGGAAAGAAGATGATTGGGAAGATAAAGAGAAAAGGGTGGAAAGAAGAAGAAGAAGAGGAAGAAGAAGAAGAAGAAGAAGAAGAAGAAGAAGAAGAAGAAGAAGAAGAAGAAGAAGAAGGGAGTTTATATGAGAAAAAAGTATCAGCAAACAAAAGAAGATTCTTAAGTAGAAGAAGTGAGGAAAGAGAATGACAAAGTACATGATGGAGGAAGAAAGTGGAATAGAAGAGGAAGGAGAAAATAGAAAAAAAATTAAGAGAGGAGAATATAAACAAAAATTAAGACCGGAGAAGAAAAACAAAATGAAGAATAGAAGAAAAAAGAAGAAATTAAGAGCAGAGAAGAAAAAAGGAAAAATTTAAGATCGGAGACGAAAAAGAAAAAAAGGTGAAAAATTTCGAACAGAAGAAAAAAAAAGCAGAAAAATTAAAAACGGGGAAGAAAAAAAGGAGAAAATTTTATAGTGGAGATTAAAAAAAAAGGGCAAAATTAACAGCGGAGAAGAAAAAAGGATAAAAATTAAGAGCAGGGAAGAAAGAAAAAAAAAAGCAGAAAAATTTAGAGTGGGAAAAAAGAAAGAAAAACTTAAGAGCGGAGAAGAAAAATAAATGAAGGGAGAATGATGCATAAAAATAAAAAAAATAATGAGATTGAAAAAGATTATTGCGTAAAAGAGAACTTGAAGCAAAATAATCAGAGTGAAGGGGAGGAATTTAATAAAACTATTTCCTCTGTTCTCAGTTGGCAAAAGTTTGATATGAAGTTCACTTTCCTCATTTTCCCGCCTAAATGGAAACTGGCGTCCTGAATCGCCGAAGAATCACAGCGAAAAGCCACATTTATGAATGAGTGGCTCAGCAAACTGAATTCATGGCTCAAAACCCCTTTTCTTCTTGGCCACTGAACTTTGATAAAAAATATAGAGAGCGCGAGAAAAAAAAATTGTTAAAAAGAGAAAAGATAGAAAAGAGAAGAAATGAGGGAACGGGCTGTGGAGTTCAAAATGAACGTCAGCGATCTTGCCTTACATTTCTTTCACCGACCCACACTTCCAATATCCTCTCCAGTCGTAAAAATTATGGCTAGGATTTCACTGTTCCATAGAATTCGATTTGAGATTAAATTATGTTTGGCTTAAGCTGACCAGATTTCGTATAATATTTCTGATTCTCTCGTTCATTTCTACTGCACTGCGGTAGGGTAGAAACGATATTAGTATTTCAGTACGTGACATGTATGAGATTTTTTCGTGGTTACTGCAGAGGCAGCGCAGCACAGAACGGTAGTCTGGAAAATTAAACCGAGGTACTCACCTACCACAATGTAAAAATAAACAAAACTATCATAAAAATAAAATAAAATAATATATGCCATGATATCTTTTAGTACAAAACTAGAAAAAGGGTTTCACCTCAAGACTGAATATATTTTTAACGCTTTGTTACTTGCTGAGGGATGATTACCAAGATCATATCTCGCAGGCTATGACAGTCAGTCAGTTATATGCCATGCGGGATATACACATAGTTGATCAGGCCTCTTTCGATATATGACTATTTTTCCCGCAGTGGGTTGCCATTTCTTTCTGTGGTAGATGAGTTGCCATCCAAGGCTATAGAACACGGTCTGTCCTGCCATTTATCTATAGCAGATGAGGATTCATACTTTTTCCAAGGGTATTAGCACGTAAGTGAATGTGATGAATTCGACTGGAATTCGAACTCGGCTCTCCGATTCCGCAATCCGAGCCGTTATCCACCGTGCCTCCTCTAGGAAGCATAATTCTCACTGTTAGAAGACCTACCAGAATTTATTACTGGTGGTTACAGTCTTAACAACAACAAATACACAGGTAGCATCATTTCGATGGCAGTAAAGAAAACTGGGAAGAAAGAACTATCTATGAATTGTAAGAAAAGAAAAGGATCGTAAACAAGGGAGGCAATGTGTGGCAAAGTGGAATTTTTTTTTTCAGGTTTTCATCGGAGTAAATTTGCTATATGAAGTCCCAAAGGACGAAACGCGTCACGAGAAAAAAATTCCACTTTGTCATACATTTTTCCCACTGTTCTTGATATATAAAAATATATATCGTTTCTCAAGAGAAACAATTCAACACACGAGCTATTGATTAGAGATTTGAGAATTAAGCAAGTACAGAAATTTAACTATCTGGGAAGTATTCAAACAGTCGACGGTAATTGTAACACCGAAATCAGTAGGCGGAATATGCCTTTCAAAAGCTAGACAGAGTATTAAGAAAGCAGAAAAATTTCAATATACAAAAAAAAAGAAAGTACCGAAAAACTATAACAGTGAGATATGAGTCAAATGTTGCTCTACAGAAGGATGCTTAGAATACCATAGGCGGAGCATGTGAGCTTTGAAGAAGTTTTAATTATTGGTTGGTTGATTTTGTTTAGTGGCATATCAACACTTCTATGAGTTATTTAATGCCAAAATCTAAATATTTTGAATATGATTTTATGGCTTCAACTAAAGATAAAATGTGTTCTTGGTCATTTTGCTATAAAAACTATTGTTGGTAATTCTACTATAAGTATGCATTGTTGGCAAATGTTTTATATAAAAATGTATTGCTGGTATTCTTATAATAATAATAATAATGAATTGAAAACATGTATCACTTTAAAAATACCTTTTTCCATGTTGGTGGTTTGATTTGATTTAGTAGCATTTCAACCTCTATGGGTTATTTAATGCCAAAATCTAAATTTATTTGAATAGAATTTTCTGGCTTCAACTACAGATAAAATGTATTTTTAGTAATTCTACTATAGAATTGTATTATTGGAAAATGCTTTATATAAAAATTTATTGCTGGTATTTTTATAATAAAGATGTATTTTTATACTTTCATAGTTTTTCTTTGGTGGTTCACCATCCACCCATAGCTGGTGTCGTAACAAGTGCTACCACCACGAGTCAGAGTAGACCTTTCATTAAAAGGTGGTTCCACGCTCCTCAAGGCCTCCAATCTCTGGATCAAAGGGCTTGCTATCGGATATAGCTTATGAAGACGTTCGAAAGAAAATGAAAACAAAAAGTACACATACATAGAATTAGATGGAGACAGTTGAAATTTCTGATACATATGAGGAATGAGGAGAGAAAGTTTAGAGAAATTACCACTCGCAAGACACATTGAAAGCAAGAAGAGGAGGCGGAAACAGCGATTAAACCACATAGGGATCTTTTTTGACAACATAACAGGAAGTGACAGCGATAGTATAGAGACAAATATTACACAGATATTTCACCGCCATCAGCGTCTGAGGCATAACATTTTGAGTGCAGATTCATAGTCACCGGAGAAAGACGGTTGCCACATATTTGCAACATAAGAGCCAGCATTGCTAACGCACTATAATCACTGTTTGACTTCCTTACCTGGTAGAAATTCTAATGCATCATTCAAACGAGCCACTTGCTCATTGTAACATTTCACAGAAGCAATTTGGAATAAATCCTCTTGATTACCATAAAACAGAAAGAAAATTCTTTTCAGTATATTTTGTTTAGGTTGAGATTTTATAACATGTCTTAGATCAAACCACGAGTTTCTTTGTTTGGGAATCTTTTAATAAGTCCACTTTCCAAAATTGTCTTTTGTCCAAAAATGTGATGATCAAGAAATATTTAAATGCAAACTGATATTCGTTTTAGTAAGTTCATACAGAACTCTTTTCCAAGCTTGGTCTTTCTTAAGTCCTATAAACAATACATTTGTACTGAAGGGTTGCACAAGCAATAAAAAATAACCTGAGTAAAAATCAGACTTTAAGATTAAAAATTTCCTAAACTTAAAACTGTACAAATACAGCGTTGGGAACATTGATATAAATCCCCATAAAAACCTTGATTAATTGAAAAGCTTTTATAATTTTAAAAGAAAACTTGTATTCGTTAATAGGTTTTGTATTGACATTTTTCCTTCACGTGTGTTAGCCAAGAATGGAACAATTGCTATTCCCCAGAGATTTAATAGCATCACGGGAAAACAGATATTAATCATGGCAATGTAAAGGACAAAATGAAAACAAGGCACGAAGTACAAACAGAGGGACGTTAATCAACGTTTTTTTCATTCTAAAGATATTAAAACTTATTTTTGGCCTGTGGTAAATTCTATTTCGAATAGTATCAACCGTTATCATTTCTCCAGTGAGTGAAATAGTTGTATGAATCCCACTATCCGTGTTAGAGTCAAAGATTTCGAAGGTTGGTTTTCAAGGCAACGTCTTCTTACTAATCCTGAAATTCCCATCCTCCTACCATTCCAGTTTGTACCATTTATACCTGGTGCGTATTTTTCACAGATTGCAGACAGTGACTTTGAAGATTGAACATAACACTCCCCATTAATCTAGCCTTTTACCCGAATAAGTTAAAATTAGTAAATATCATTTCTTACCTCAAGGCATTAATGTTATTCTAGCGCTTTTCTTGTATTACTCAAAATAAGCTAGATTTATGGGGGTAGAGTGCTCAATATCGGTGTATTGAAGCTGTCAGTCACCATGTAGTTTTGATTCCTATGTAGGCACGCATATATATATATATATATATATATATATATATATATATATATATATATATATATATATATCTATCAAAAACGGGTGCTAATCATTGCTTGATTGTGATTATGAATTACCAGACCTCGCTAATAATCATATGCATTTAAAAGTTTTTTCTGGTGTTCACATATAAAAACAGGTTTAAATATCGACACTTGTATGAAGCGATTTTTTTTTTGCATTTGGTTTCGGAGAGTAATTCCTCCCTAACTATCACTTCTTATCACGTGCATCCTTGCAAGAAGATTGCTTTAGGAGCTTTTATTTGGCAATCCCGAAAGAAAATCGTTATTTTCCTTGTAATTGCTCTATATTTACAGGATAAACATACAGTCACCGCCTAACTTTCTAAGATTTTCTTGGAGAGTGCATAGTAATCTGTACATGATTCCGGAGAAAGTTGGTAAACTGTACTTTATTAAAAGAGATTTTGTTGACTTTTGAAAATCCAGAGAGTGCAATTCATTTCTTGTAAAGGTTCCTGAAAATTTAAATTATTTAAAAAAAAAAAAGAAGAAAAGCGAGAGGAAGCAAAGAGAAGTGAAAATAAAAGAAAGAGAGAAAAGGAAAATAGAGAGAAGCAAAGAGAAGGAAAAAAAAAGAGAGAAGAAAAAAGAGAGAGAGAGAAGGAGAATAGAGAGGAAGAAAGAGAAAAAATAAAAGAAAGAGAGAAAAGGAAAAAGAGAGAGAGAAGGAGAATAGAGAGGAAGCAAAGAGAAGTGGAAATAAAAGAAAGAGAGAAAAGGAAAAAGAGAGAGAGAAGGAGAATAGAGAGGAAGCAAAGAGAAGTGGAAATAAAAGAAAGAGAGAAAAGGAAAAAGAGAGAAGGAGAATAGAGAGAAGCAAAGAAAGTGGAAATAAAAGAAAGAGAAAAAGGAAAAAGAGAAAGAGAAGGAGAATAGAGAGGAAGCAAAGAGAAGTGGAAATAAAAGAAAGAGAGAAAAGGAAAAAGAGAGAGAGAAGGAGAATAGAGAGGATGCAAAGAGAAGTGGAAATAAAAGAAAGAGAGAAAAGGAAAAAGAGAGAGAGAAGGAGAATAGAGAGGAGGCAAAGAGAAGTGGAAATAAAAGAAAGAGAGAAAAGGAAAAAGAGAGAGAGAAGTAGTGAGAGGAAACAAAGAGGAAAAGAAAAAGAGAAAAGGAAAAAGAGAAAGAGGATAAGAAGAAAGAGAAAACAAAGAGAAATGAAAATAAAAGATAAAATGAAAAAAAGAGAAGAGAGAAGAAACAAGAAGTGGAAAAATAAAAATAAAAAAGAGAAAAGGAAAAGAGAAAAGGAAAAGAGAAAGAAAAAGAGAAGGAAAGTTTGCATCTGTATATCGAAGTCCTTACAAAAAAAAACAAACAAAAAAACAAAAACGAATACGATCGTAGTTTGGCAAAAAGTAACATTAGTGGAATAATGTTAGGGCAGAACTCTTTACACTCTAAATAACTAACTGAGGTTGGCTCAGTTATAGCTCTCCAGCAAGTATCTACGCATAATATCATCAACTTTTTTCTTCTTCAGTACATTGGCGATTAAGACTCTCGATCCTAAATCCTGTTGTCAACCATTAACTCAAGTTCGTCTCGGGAGGTTATAATACCCAGAAATTTATACCCAGATGTCCTCAAGGACACATGGCACAATGGATAAAGGTGTTGGTTAGATCCAGTGACAGGCCCCAAAGAGTGTGAGTTCAGAGTTCAGAGGGAAATTAACAGTAGATAACTGATAACTGGCATCCATCAAACATGGCACGTGAAACTAGAACAGTCTACCCCAGTGAACGAAATGAAAGGTTCAGTTTGACATTCAAACCCCCTGAAGAAGGCTGGAGTGTACAACGGCCGAAACGTTGTGATAAATATGGCGACAAAGATGAGGACAATAGTCTGAATAATGTAAATAATGTACATAATACCTCATCTCAGAAATATAGACAGATACTGAAAGGCCGAAACGTTGTAATAAATATGGCGACAAAGATGAGGACAATAGTCTGAATAATGTAAATAATGTACATAATACCTCATCTCAGAAATATAGACAGATACTGAAAGGCCGAAACGTTGTAATAAATATGGTGACAAAGATGAGGACAATAGTCTGAATAATGTAAATAATGTACATAATACCTCATCTCAGAAATATAGACAGATACTGAAAGGCCGAAACGTTGTAATAAATATGGTGACAAAGATGAGGACAATAGTCTGAATAATGTAAATAATGTACATAATACCTCATCTCAGAAATATAGACAGATACTGAAAGGCCGAAACGTTGTAATAAATATGGTGACAAAGATGAGGACAATAGTCTGAATAATGTAAATAATGTACATAATACCTCATCTCAGAAATATAGACAGATACTGAAAGGCCGAAACGTTGTAATAAATATGGTGACAAAGATGAGGACAATAGTCTGAATAATGTAAATAATGTACATAATACCTCATCTCAGAAATATAGACAGACTCTGTTGTTACGCGATGTTTTCCTCTGTCTCTCTTGTGCTTTAAGTATCAAATTTTCTAGGTCTTGTTTCCTCATTAAAATTCCATCCGTGACTTTATGATAATTATGTGTCACTTTTATTCTCATTTTCTCTAAAATTTCATCGTTGTTCAATCCATGGTATGCTCAGTATCCTTCTGTAGAGCCACATTTATGTTGCTTCAAGTCACTCCTTCATCTGTGAGGAGATTTTCCAGCAATTATTGCGATAAATGAAGGAACTGATATTAAATAACAATTCAGTACTCTTTTCTTTGTTTCTAACGAAAATCTCCTGCTTCTTAATATTTTGCTTAGCTTTTGCCCTCCCAATGCGCCTTCGAATCTCCATGTCGCACTTTCCGTCCTCTGTTAGAACACTTCCCAGATATTTTAGTTGTTGTACTTGTTTGATTTTAGTATCTCCAGTTTGGTATTTGCTTGTTGAGTTGTTTCTTTTACTAACAATCATGCATTTTGTTTTCTTGTAATTAGTCCTTTGTTCTCGCTTTCCGTCACTACATTCTGTAGTCCTTATCAACAGTATGTCAACTATATATCTTATGGTTTTAAGATTGTAGCCGCCAATAATGAATCTTGGTCAGACTTCCATTTCTCTCTTAATCGCCTCACTGTATTGGTTAATCCTTGTCTTACACTCCTTTCTATTTTTGCATATTAACTGAATTCATTTTCTATCCGTATGCAGGCAATTTGGTCCCAGTATAAGTTCTGGATTATTCGAATATCATTCCCAAATATTTCAAGGTTCCCAAGCATTTCTAACAGTTCTTCGTGACGAGTTTACGGTTTTCAGAAAAAATTATAATTTAAAGAGCTTTTTTGGGCTATTAAACTTCTATTTTGTGTTTGCCTATATTTCTGATATGAGAGATTGTAACAATTTACACAATTTACAGTGTTCGGACTGTTGTCTTAATCTTAATGCCATATTCACAACGTTTCGGCCGTTGTAGGCTCCGGTCTTCTTCAGGTGATATTAATTGACATTTTGAACCGAACAATTTATTTAGTCCGGTGTGGAGGTAGATTGTTCTAATTTCACGTGCCATGCCTGTTGAATATTTCAGTTTCAATTAACTTCCCTTGCTAACTCAACTCTCCAAGTTTTTGTTGTGGCCAGGTATTGAATTCACCACTCTGGATTGGCCCTGTGGATAACATTGGAGAGCTACAAAGGCTACGAAGGTTGAGTGATTCAAAAGTTTCTTTTTGTAACGTTTTGGTCAAATTCTTTTACAGCTTCCTCACGCAATATCTGCAAAAAGTTCTTCATGAACTCTACGTTTTGTGAAAAGGTAAACAAGGAGCGATCTAATTATTGTCGGATCCAATAATTACATTCTATTGATAGATATTTCATATTAAAATAACAGTCCGAAATATATGTAAAAAATTGAAGCATACGCAGTTATCTCCCTTGCATTGCATTTGAACTGATTTTTATTCAGTTTTCGTGACAATAGCGTTGGCAGAGATCGACTCGTTTTTCGTTATCTTGTTGGTTCTTCAACCTTCTTTTTTTTTATTATTATTACTTTCTTATTTTTTCTTTCTTGTCTTTTTCTTTTCGGTTTTCATTTCCGTGTTTTCCTTCCTTTCTCTTCTTTCTATTGTTCAGTCTTTTCTTCGTTCTTACTCCTCCTTCTCTATGTCTTCCTTTTCCTCTTCTCCCCTCGTAATAGACGTGATGTTTAAATCAGGATACATTGTCTGCATCTTTTTATTCTTCTTTTTACTACTCTCTGTAAATTTCATCAATCATCTTTAGTGTTGACGATAATTACAATTTTTCAACGACGTAGTTATCATTTTTTTTATTCTGTTTTTTCCTTCCTCACCTCTTTCCTTATTTTCCTTGACCTTCCTGCCACACTTTCCAATTTAATCCCAGCATCCTGTTCATCCTCTTGATTTGCTTATTTGATCGTCTTCAAAATCTTTCCTAACTTCTTCGTATTCCTTTTCCTAGGTTGCTACTACTACTACTACTACTACATTGCTACTACTATGGATAATAATATTGTATTCTTATTTTAATAATTTGAAGAGGTTATTATAAGTTTAACCATAAGTTTAATTATTAAGCATATTTCTAACTTTATTACTTGTTTCTTTATCATTGTCTTGATCACTTTGTTTGAATTTGATACTATAATAATTTGTTATTTTTATTATTAAAATTAACATAATTCTTAACTTTTTATTGGAATTATTTTTGCTTACCGTAATTCTCCATGTATAATACGCATTTTTTCTAAAAAATAATAAGTAAAATCAGGGGTGCGTATTATGCACAGCTAAAAGAAATATTTAAAAAATTGCCGTAAAATAAAATAAGAATTATCATAAAATTAAATTAGAATTATATTATTCTAAGTTTAAAAACCATTCTTTAAAATAAGAGTAGGACATGCTGGCCGTAATGAAATTGGAGAGGTACAATTTATAGGGTTTGATTACCAAACAAGGGGTGCGTATTATGCGTAAGTAGAAGCATTTTCCCACATTTTCAGCACAATTTTAGGTGTGCGTATTATGGATAAAGGTGTATTATACATGGAGAATTACGTTAATTTGTATGAATTTTATGATTTTTATTGCGCTTATTTTAAGTATAGTTTAGTTAACTAAAATAAATTAACGTTTTTATTTCCTTTATTTCATTTTACATTATATTATTTCACATTTATTTTTCATTATTTTTATTTCAAACAATGTTTGATTCGTTTTATATTTTAAAATTTATTTTCTCAATTTTTTATTTTATCCTAAATTTATTTTTCATTATTTTCTATTAGAATTCTTTATATTAAGATAATCATTATGATCGTTAATATTACCGTTGACATGCCTTTCAGTTTCACTGCCAGATTCATATACGTCTTTGCTTTCTTCGTCCATTTTGTTTTGAAAAGAATCTTTTTTTAAGCGGGGAAGGGTGGGTGGCGATGGACCAAATTCTTCAAGATTTTATTCTTTCAATTTTGTTTTTTTTTATTTCTTTCTAACCCCACTCCTTTCTTATCAAGCTGGCTTAAAGACTATCCATTGTTTGACAATTCCCGTGTTACCCTTTTCTTCATTCTGTGCCTCTTCATATTCTCCCCGACACCACTCGACCGCTTCCTTTTTCGATGCATAATCCATTATGCAAGCACACTCTATCCACCCGACTCCATCTACTTTTGGGGACATTATTTTTTTTAACACTCCGGTGTCAGTTTTTTTTTTGTTTTTGTTTTTTTTTTTTCATTTAAAAATGTTCACATATTCCCATCATATCAATTCCGGATTCCTGGCAGAAACCCTAACTTATTTCTGAAGTATATCTTAGCAATTATATGTTTCATCAAGAAAAGTTTTTAAATGAATCCTAGCTCTTCTGTACTTATCTTTTATATAATATTCGTCTTGCATTACTGTCTGGGACAAATCCAGTCAACGTGGCAGTCGCTTTCAGAAGAGGTAATCATCACCAACTTTCAAGAAATAAACCTTTTACAGTGTTGTTTATCCTGTACAAAGCTCGTGATTTATTTCAGGTAGAGATTTACAGAGGAAGAGGAATAATTTATGCGGATATTTGGGAAAAAATAAAGGTTAACCATTGACATGAACAGCTTAAGATTGTAGTAATAGGGAAAACATCCTCTTGGGAGTCGGTTCCACAAAGCCGCGAATTGTAGGAAGAAGCTACTCGAATGAAACTTACATCTCGCCAATAGAATGTAAAAAGAATCAGAGTGGTTCGCTACAATTTGTATAGCATGGCGGTTCCTTGCCGAGGTGGTTAGAAAAAGTGGAACAAAGGAATGTAGTTCGTCAGAGCACTTTCCATGTAGCAATAGAGAAGCGAGAGGTTTGATACGTGTCGTCTTTGAGAGAGAGGTTGTAGGACGGAGAATAACTTGTCAGTCACAAGGACGCGCAGACGCTTTTGGATTCTATTAAGACACGAAAGAGAAAAAACTGGGTAGATCCTGCGCATATACACCCTTGTGCAAATTAATTGAAACAAAACGAATAATTCCGTTATTATTTACATTTTTTTCGTATTTTTTCCAATGTTAGTACTTCGTATGTCCATTCCACGAAGTCTTTCCTTGCAGGTTGACCACAGATTCTCGATTGGATTTAAATCAGGAGAGTTTCCGAGCCAGTCGATTTGCTCACTGCTAAAACTTGCCATTATGATCGTGCAGCGTTTTTTCGTACGCTTGCTTGAAGTAACGTCCCTTGCAGACAATGGCTGCAGGACAACTAATCGACAGTCGAGACAATAGTGTCTGGGTGTGATGAAAATCTGATGCAATCACAGATGACGCAATATTTTTCAAGGCCAAACAAATTTGATCATACACCTGAAAATAGAGTCATATTACTGCATACCAGTGCAAATGACCTAATCTGAGAACAAAATAGAAATCGATTACACCCTGTCACTCCAGTGAGTCTAAAATTAACCGTATGGTGAAAGAAAGGAAACTAAAGCGGTTGTTTCAATTAATTTGCCCAAGGGTTTATGACAATAGTATTCCGTTTTAGGTCTGATCTGGCTCTTGTAAAGGTAGAAGATAGTACAGGTATTACTGATGTGGTACAGAGAACAGAGTAAAGTACATCCTACAAACTTAAAGGTTTCAGTTTCTTCGGAATTAATTTCACCGGATATATAATGCATTATTATTCTGAAGAATGTATTGTTCTTTAAACTGATTTTTTTCTGTTTGAACGGCATATCAACCCCGTCGGTTATTTAATGCCGAAAATGAATGCATTATGTTCAGATTGAAAACCAGCCAGATAATTAGATGAGTTTATCGTGCAAATGATAATCGTCTCGGAGGTAGATATCGGAGAGCCGAGTTCGAGTTCCAGTCGGTTCGGTACATTCACTGGTGCGTAAATAACCTTAGGAAAGGCATGAATCCATCTCTTCCCCTCCTAGCTATAGATAAACAGAATGGGTCCTACAGAACTCGGTTGGCAACCTACCGCGGGAAAATCTTCTACCTAGTCATTTATGAATCGAAAGAGACATGATCGACCAATCACGTATAGCACTTAATTGGCTGAAAGAATCAGTTTCCATTTAGACGATCAAATTCAGAGCTAGTCTTCTTCCTAATCATATACAAAATAAACATTTAGTGGGTATTAGCGACCATATAAGTGATAATCTATGCTTTATAGGAACAACACACCTTACTTCTTACCGGGGCGGGGGTGACGTCAAGCAGTTAAGGAAAGAGAATCAAATGTCTGGACTGATTGAAAAACAAGCTTCTAAGTTGGGGTTTTATTTTTTTTATTTGTTTTTCACTATCTTCTTCCTTTATATATTTGTATTTACTCAACCCCACACGAGGTCAGGTTGTGACACAAGGTCGGTTTAATGTGAGGAGCCCGAGCGCGTACATCCGGGCTAGGAACAAAAATTGCCCGCAGACCCCGCAACCATCGGTTGCGCTGGTCTGGATGCGAGCACCGATCCCTATCTCTGGTGCAATAAGGAGGCGCGGCCTCTGGCACCTGTTTCCCAGGGCTGGGCAACTCTCAGTATAATTTTTTGCTTTATATATTAAAACAAAATATGAATAGATTTCTCACTCTATGGTTCATTAGTCACCAAAATGTCCAATTTAGATAGCAGAATTATTAAATGCAGATATCTGTGAAGGAAACCATATTTTGTTTTACTAAAAATTCATAATGAACCAAACCATCCATATTCTACTATTTGCTCACCAAGACTTTATCTTGTTGGAGTTTTCATTAGATAATAATAGTTTGTATCAGATTTTTTTAACAGAGCAAGAAGGAAAAAATCACCGTAATCTTGTCACCGCTAATAATGGTTATGTTTTTTAATATATCTAACTTTTGTTATATTTAAATATTTGCTTTTTTAATTCCATCTTCATAAGTGCGACATTACTTTCCGAGCAATAAAACAACATTAGTTCTTTGAAATTCAGTTTACAGGGATTTGCCTCGTCAGAATAACAAATATATTATTTTCCTGGGTGGAGATAATGTATAAGCGATAACCTTTTCATTGCATCATAAATTTATGTCAATGAGGTTTGTTAATAGTGACGATCCTTTGATAATTGTCAGCAAAACCATTAATTTCTACATATCTATCTGTATTACAGCAAACCAATTAGATAATTACTGAACATATTTTAGCCTGGCATAAGACCACTATCGGAGCGCCTTAAAGGACGAAGCCATATCACTTGGAAACACCGGTTCTCGTTTGATCACCGAAGTTAAGCAACGTTAAGCGTGATCATACCTGGATGGGTAACTGCTCGGGAATATCAGTTGTTGTAAGCTTGGATGTGCAGTTGGTGTAATAGATAACGCTTCGGAATGAAAAATCGGAGATCTGAGTTCGAATTCAAGTCGGGGTCGTTATCTTCACTTACGTGCAAATATACTTGAGAAAGTTATGAATCCAACGCTTCTCCCCACCACTATGGTTTAAATAGTAGGATTTGTATCAGAAAATCATTATTATTTCCCCAAAAATTTCTAATCTAAAAGTATATTTCGGCTTTAAATAATTTTAAAAGTGTAAAAAACAAATCAATCAATGAAGCCGTTCAAGTTGAACTTTCTAAGCATCGGCTAATGCTAACCACATTTTACACAGGTTATTAACCTAGCCTTCTGACAGACAAATGATTATCTTTTATACGCGCATTGGTGTCTTTATTTATGGCTTCGTATATCAATTAGATGAAAAAAATAATTGATTGATTTGCTTTTTACGGCATATCAACACTTTGTGGGTTACTTAAAGCCGAAACATATTTCAGATTTTAGAAGGTCACCCATCTAAGTACTGGCCGTGATCGACGCTGCTTAACTTCAGTGATCGAACAAAAAGCTGCGTTTTCAACGATATAAATAGTGAAAACTACTCGAAATTTATTTATATATATACACTAGTAGTGTATATATATATATATATATATATATATATATATATATATATATATATATATATATATATATATATATATATATATATATATATATATATATATATATATATATATATATATATATATATATATACTACTGTTGTGAGACAGTAACATACCTACAACTCTTCCAGGACTATATAAAGTATGCGATATAACACTCTAAGAGAGAGAGTATATTCTAATACCGTACGACTATCAATATTGGACACTAGCACATAGTAAGCTCCACTTACACTATCTTTTGTAACCTTTTGTTTAATATATCTTTCTTACCTCTAATCCATGTTCCGTGTTTTTCCTTCCGTGCTCCCAACTTTGGGCCCATTCAATTACAATTTTATCATATAGACAAAACCATGTCTATATGATAAAATTATAAGAAAGGAATAATTATCGCTCTACTATCGGTATCTTTTGGATTAATTCTGTGAAAGTTGGAATTTATATGTTACTTTTGTTCTCATCGCATCGGATATATATATATATATATATATATATATATATATATATATATATATATATATATATATATATATATATATGGTGGCAATAAATTCACTATACAGTTACTTACAATAACAGTTACGACAAAGCAATTAATCAACTGTCCAGAAATTTATTATTAAAATGCTTCTGGTTAATAAAATAAAATGGTGTGGTTGACAATAGTAAATTAATTACCGATACTATTCGAACTGCAAGCCACCTGCATCCGTGCCTTGCTTTTTTATTGTAATTAACTGCATAGTGACTTTATTGCTACCCTGTATATATTTCTGAAAGTGAAATCTTTATATTGTCAAAGTTGATATTTTTTCTTAAATGATAATATCTATTATTATCATTTATAACGATCTTTTTTTACTCGTCTGCCTAAGCAAATTCAGTCGGCGTTGAGTTTGTCTTGAGATTACCATAGAGTTTATAATTTAAATTATAATTATTGCTGGAGCAATGTATTTTCAATTTTGAACAATTACTGCGATTTGATTCATCAGAGTTTTAAAATTCTCATTTTCAGATCATGGCAGTTTCTATAGAAAACTGAAATTCGCAATGTCATATTTGATTTATGGCTGATGACCGTCGATAGTCACGACCGTTCGACAATACCCCGAGCGTGAGGCTTTTTATAATACGACAAGGGACTGTAAATTAAATTTTCTCGGACTAAGAAGCTCTTTGAAAAAAACCCCCCAAAAAACAGAGAATAATATGAAGTTTCGGAATAGTTTGGGAAGTGATTCCTAAGTTTTCATTACTGCGATTGTTTTCGACGATTTTTACGTGATTTTTCTGAAACAAATTTTTTTGTACGACAACTTTTATAACTTGGAAATAAATTTGGGATTAATCAAAATTAATTGCGAAATCCAGCGAAAAATCCCCCATGAAATAAAAATAATTGTTTGCAAGTAAGGACATACGTGTATCAAATTGTCTTTAAATTAAATGGCAACAGAAGAATTATCATTGAACTTATAAAAGGTAAGCTTAAATATTAATGCAATACTTAAATGCAGCGATCAATTTTGAGTTCATATGTAGTTTATTGTTGCTTATCGAATACGGCACTAGTATACATCGTAAAAAATCTCCACCAACACAGGACCGGATTGCAATCAAAAGACCCGAGGCTGTAGCGAGAAGAAAGTCCCGTGCAAATGAAAACCCAGATCAAACAGTAGCCAAGAGAGCTTTCAATGCTGAGAATATGCAAACAAATCGAAGGCCCAATCGAGAGCCCTCAGTAGGATCTAGCTTAATTGCCGCCGGACAAGGCGCATTTTAAGTTAGTATTTTATAAAATTTCAACCGACAGTGACACTGAATCAATGGGAACTAAATTATTTTTAATAATATCTTCCTTCCTAAATATATTTAACCAATGCTTCACTAATCAGATAATGTGAAAATTTTCAGATCGAAATTCACCTAACAACTGTGGTCATGCTATAAACCCATCGACGTATATTACTTGATATACATATTTTGTTGCATTGAAACTTCTTGTTCAAAATTCCCTCTTGCTTCAGTCTTTATTATCTATCTATAAAATTCTGTGAGTCCTGTTAGTTCGTCCGTCCGTCACATCTACTAAAATAGCCATACATTGACCAATCGAAATCAAATTTTGGGGAGAAATGCAAACAGGTAAGGACGTACAAAATACAGTTTGTTTTATTTGAACGAAACCTAGTTTTTAAATCTCGACAAAAATGTTAGCGATAACTTCAATAATATTAAATACTCAAATAAATTCTAATATTATAAAATTTGAATCGTTGGAGACATGTTAATATTTAAAAACTACGGACAGGCCGGGGGGTGGGGAGTGCCTCAGATGGAAGAAACAAACACATGTCCGTGACTATGGCGAACCTTTAAATGGAAGGACATTGGGTTTGGTGTGAATTGTTGAAAGATGGGCTACGTCTAGTCTCCTTGACCAAGGCACGTTATGCGTGAATGAATACCTTTGAGCCTAGATATGCGGAGAGAACTGGTTAGGTTCTCAGTTGCGCCGTGACCCTATGAACTGAAAAGAAGAGAGGATAAGATTAAAATGAGAATAATAGACACATTCTTTGCAGTTTTATATCTCAATATTTGCTTATTCTAATTTTCTTTCTATCTTCGTTTAACTCTTTCTTTTCATCATCACTTTTCAGCCATTTTTTATCGTTTTTAACCAAACTTTTCTTAAATATTCTTTTTATTTTTTCATTTTTGTTTTGCAATTTTGCCTATTTTTCTCGCTTTTTTCTTTACATCATTTTTTTTTCAAACCTTCATTTTTTTATATTTCAGATATTTTCAATATTGTTACAGTTTCTCCAGTATGCCCCCCCCCCCAGCTACTTCTTTGGGCGTTTCTCTTTACTTCCGACCAACATAACGCCATCCACCACCCCGATTACTTCGATGATCAATAGTCGTGATTCTGTTGTTGTTATTTTCACCCTCCTGATCGCTACTTTTTCTGTGCAACGACAATTTGACATTGGAACTGAAAGATAAGCAGAAGACAATCTTCCCATCTTTCCTCGAACAAATCCTTTTCCATCTTCCCACTCATTCTTTTATTATTCTCAATCGTCTAATCCAGATGATCCTGCTTCTCTTCCTATCGATGTTCCCACGCTGTCGTCCAGACACCCAAACTAATACGCAAAGTTAAATGACACACTGAAGAATAGAACAAGAGAAAAACGACTTCGCAATGAACAGGCTTTGGGGATTGGGGTGGAGGTGATGACATCGGTTTCAAATAGTTTGACCCACAAGAGGATTCAGGTTATTTTTATTTTAAGGGAAATCTTTCTCTTGAAAATGATAGGTTCTTTCTTTAATGTTTTTCATTCACTCATTCGTCCTTTTTGTTTTTCAATTTCCTCCTGTGAATGGTTATTCATTAATTAATCTTCATCCATTCCTAAGAAACATTCTTCGTTTTTATTAAAATTTGTTTTTCCACCTATGTTTTCTTTTATTCTTGATATATTTTTCTTTCATGATTTATTCGAAGAATTTCTTGTTTTTCGTTTTAAGCAAAAATTTCTCTTCCTTTATTTCCCATTACTCTCTTTTCTTAAATGCTCTATTTTTTTTTTTTCTTTAATAAAAAAGATTTAATTTGATTTTGGTTTATTTTTCTTTCATTCTTTAAAACTGATTTTCTTTCATTTTTCTTTTCTTTCTTCAGTCTGGGATTCTTACTTTATTTTTCTTTTCAATCAAAACGAACACTCTGTCGTCATTTCTCTCATTCGAATATCGTCTATTCTTTCTTTGCTGTTTCTTTCTTAATTTTTCTTTCTTTAATTCTTGACCTTTTCTTGCCCGTTCTTTTTCTATTTCGGTTTATTTTCAACCTGATATTTTTTCCTTCTTTGTTTAAATCATTTCATTTTTTTTTCTCTTTTCATAGCTGCCCTATTTTTGTTTTCTAATTCTGCCTTCTTTCCTGTGTTTTATTTTCTGTCCTTCCTTTTTAATGACACCGTTCATTTCTTTTTCCTTGAAGTCCCTCCTTCCAGCTTCTTCCATTTTCGCTTGTAAATGAAAGAAACACGATAAACTCAAAACAATGTGCATAGCGACGAAATCGCCTTAATGTGAACAAAAAGAGAGAAAAAGGTCTTGATGCGTGACAATTCCGAGATCTTTCTCATTTTCAGACTATCGGAAAACGACAAGCAATTCCTTACCGACACTACAGCCGCGCAGTCAAACTGAATTTGAGGTTTTATTTATTTTGTACACTCACTTTATCACACACACACACACACACACACACACACACACACACACACACAAACACAATTGTCAGTTAAAGCCT